ATTGGCACCTAATACATACAAATCAGATCCAATATACGGTTGCAACGTTTCATTAGAAAACGCATCATTTTTGGAAAGGTTCAGATGTACCATAATAAGTCCCCTTCAAATGATTTATCAGTTGAATGTAAAAGAAAAATTAAAAGGATACTCTTTTATGGCAAAAGATCGATTCCCAAAGGCTTCTTTGCTTTTAGTTAATACCTACTTTGGTTTTGAGGTAATCAAACTTTTTTTATTATTTTTATAATTAATTTTTGGTTTTACGAGTTACAATTTTTAACCTTTTTAAATTTATTTTGAAAGTTACCGCAATCCTTACCACCAAATATTCGGGTATTTTTTAATTTTTTTTTTTTAGCAAGTTTATCAGGTAATTTAGCAAATGACGAAATTAATCCTTTCCACTTTTCTTTGAATTAATAGGAAATCGGACCGGTATTATCAGATAAATTTCCACCACTCACACCCGAACTCTCTAAATTTATGAACAAACATAAACGAATCTTATACGTTTCTCTTGGTACATTTTTCTACACAACCGTCGAAAACAACAACAAACTTTTACAATCCTTTATCGAATCCATCAACAAAGGCATAATTGACGGTGTGATTTGGGCATTAGTTCAAACCTCGGTGGATGCTTTTGATTCCACATTAAACCTAACGGATGGTACACGCGTTCAAACCTCACCAATTCTAAATAACGAACATCCACATATTCGAATAGCAAAATTTGCACCACAATTTTCTATACTTAATCATTCCAACACCAAGCTATTCTTAAGTCACGGGGGAGCAGGAAGTTCTCATGAATCTTTATTTACCGCCACACCAATGTTGGTATTACCTATCACTGGTGACCAAGTAGGCAATTCCGAAAAATTAGAAATGGCCGGTGTGGCATTAACTTTAAATAAGCTTAATTTGGATGTTAATGATATAGTGAATAAGATTGATTTTTTATTAAATGATGATAATGTAAAGGCGAATTCAAAGAAACTAGAAGTTTTAACGAAGCTTAACAGTAAAAGGAAGTATAATGCCGCTGATTTAATTGAATATGTTTTACATAGTAATGTTTCTAGCGAAGGATTTTTAAAGGAATGGATTCCCGCTGATACTAAAATGGGATTTATTAGAGGAAATAATTATGATGTTTATGGAGCTTTATTAGGTTTGATTTTTGGAATCGGAGGAGGAATCGGGTGGGTCACATTTAGATTAATTAGACTTGGGGTAAAGGAATTTAGTTCAAAATTGAAAAGTGAATAAATATTATTATTATTATTATTATAGATATAAATAAAACATTATCATTTTAACATTGACTGGTTTTTAATGGAAGAACTATATGACAAGG